AATAAATTAAGTACAAGTAACAGGTGACGAGTGTCACTCAAAGGATGTGAACTGTATGACGAGGACTGAACTGCCTTCCATCAGTTGGACTACTATATATATATATATACAGTGACCCCTCTGTTAACGAACTCAATCCTTTCCAGAAGGTCGTTCGTTAACCGAAACCATTGTTTCAATGGGTTTTTGGGTAATTGGTTCCAGCTCACCGAAAATTTCCTAAATTCAACAAAAATGGTAGAAAAGTTTACTTACTTTGAGGTGTGTATGTAGAAGGCTCCTGGATGATGATGATGATGATGGGATTTAGAATGGGGGTGGAGGAGAAGGAAGAAGAGAAGGCATTGGGGTGGAAGAGAAGTCGCGCCATTTCACCCATAAAATTTTAGCTCTCTTGGTGTAATTCAAGATTATTTTCTTTAAATCAACACTGCACTGCATTATATATTGTCAATATGTAAAATATATTTCAAAATGACCAATAATTTGCTTGGAAACAGAAAAAAAGCGTTTAGTTGAAGAGAGTCTCAAGCAAGATGTTACCTCCAATGAAAACAGAGAGAGACTAACTCCTGTTTGCTGTGTTAAGAGGCTGGATGCCGTGCATTAAACTAGTCACTTTACCTTCAATTATGTTCAATAATTGTTAAAATGACTAAAAAATTGAATATTAAACTTAAAATTATTGAATAGTATAAACTTCTTGATATTTACTAAAATAGTAAGGAATTTAAGCCCTAGAACCGATTAATGTATTGGCGGACTGATACTAAAGCTGGTTGTCCGGTCAGTGCAAGCGAAAACATGTTGAGGTCGGTTCGTAAGAACTTCGTTAACCGAATTTTTTTTCGTTAACCGAATTGAAGATCCTTATGGAAGGCAGTTCGTTAATCGAAATTACGTTAATCGAGGTGTTCGTTAAACGAGGGGTCACTGTATATATATATATGGCCTTTTCCTGCCAGTGCGACCCGCTGGTGGGTCGTTTAACGATGCAGATGGTCGTTAGAGAATAAAGAATGCTTGTTACAACACTAAATGAAGAAATAAGATGGGCTTGAACAAATAATAACAGTTAAAACCTTAACAGCACAGGGTAAGGTGACTAGATTATATAATAGTAAATATAACACATCATTACAGTAATAATATGGAACAACATGGAAGCATGTTATATATTAAAAAAAAAATAGAAAAATACGACACGGTTGTAACAATATTTACTAAAATGGTAAGGAATTTAAGCACTAAAACCGATTACTGTATTGGCGTACTAATACTACAGCTGGTGGGCAGGCGAAAACATGTCGGGTTTGCTCGTTAACTGAAGTGAAGAATCTTATGGAAGGTAATTCGTTAACCGAGGGACCACTAAGTACAGTAAGTATTAAGAAATGGGAGAAATTGAAAAAAAAAAAATCTTACAAACAGAACAACACTTGTTCACTGAATACTGTTCAGTGGTCTAGTCAGATTTGCCATAGGCCTACCGAGAACCAAGACACTTGAGTATGTAGGGAGGTTTATCGGGTGTTGCCGCATTTGTCAGGTTTATTTATTGAATCGGTATTCTATTCGCATCATGAATAATTTAACATCTTCAATAATAGAGAAAAATTCAATATGTAATTTGTAATATGACTTGAAAATAAAAGGATAAGCTGTATCGGAAGGTATTCACTCTGGGTGCATTCGTGTGAGAGCTTTCAACAGACCAGCTTACAACGGGTCACTATAACACACTGTATACTGTAGTATTTGATGTGAAGATATGTACCTTCCTAGCAATGTTATTTAGTTCCTTTGATTGATACAAGATGGCTCAATTTGGTCATTCATTTTGCGATGTAAAATTTTGTGACTAAACTGGTACCAATTAGTCGCGAAACTTGAGATCCTACTGTACTTGAAAAATAAATATCTTAAACGAAAAGACACTTAAGTTGTTTCTCAAATTTTTATATCAATTTTCTAGATCTACACTGAAAAAAAGGATACCCCTGTATTAAAATTATGAGAATTTTACTTATACTAAAAGTATTGATTTTATTTTGTTACTGTAATATCTCCATGTCGGTCTGTACAGTTACTATAGTAGACACTGTATAATTGTTGTTTAATTTTTTATTATTACAATTTTAAATTGCAGTACTGTATTGCACTTTTAGATGTTCGTTAAAAATTTTGGCTCGTATTGGCCCACTTTTCACCAATACTGATACTGGTCTATCCAAGAGTGAATAAAATTTTTGTTTGGGTGAATAAAGCAATTAGGGTGATTGAGATAAACGAGACTATTATCAGTGTTGTGGAAGGTTATATTTGCTGACTAGGAGACTCTCCTCCTGCATTCTGAGGTTCAGTGGGTGTCGTGTAGAAGAGTCCTGGCTCTGAGTAATGACCTACATGTGTTTTACAGAAGAAAATGGCATGAAAGCAAAGCATTTCAATCATAATTTCTGGCTGGCCATATTTTCATCCATGACGTCAATTTTCAGTTATTTGAACCAGCTCAATTCGTTGCCTTGGGGGAAAGGAGGTGACTTTTTAACGTTCTTGGGTAAACAGAAGTCCTGAAAGTGAAAATTTCCATGTGGCATGCTTGCATTCAAAAAGAAATTTTTTCCAATTTCTCTCTTTTTTTAAAAACTTCCCCAAGAGAGTCAGTGGGAAGAAAAACAACCTGATCTGGAGTAATTACTGTGGGAAGTTATTTATGACTATCTGCAGTTCCTCTCTACCAATTTTGAGATGTTTTCTTCAGAAGGATGCTCAGGCCATGCAGAATCAGATGTGGATTGTTAATCCTTTCATCAACAGTTACATCAAGTGAGCTGACGTCAGGGAGATCACAGAGGTGTTGATGGAGCTTCACTATGAGTTCACCCAAAAAGCATGTTTTGAAACGTACTTCTATGAAAGCTATTGGGTTGCACTGCCTGAATTTCCTGAATGCAAATCAAATGCCATGAAGGCCCAAGAAACTAAATGTTCACTGGTATGTGTGATGCTTGTCATTCTTTGTTTTCAGTTCTCTTCAGGTGGTAATTAAAAAGAAACACTTAAGGGTCACAGCTCAAGGTTAAAGAAACCACAAGTTCAGAAAACTGTGAGGGCAAACTTTTTCGGAGTGAGAGTTGTGAACTCTTGGAACAATCTACCAGAAAGTGTTGCGTCGACACCGAGTGTGAGCTCTTTCAAGACCAGACTTGACCAACACTGAATCAGGTTCAGGTACATTCAGGAGCCAGTGCATGCCCAGTACTTGCCAACAGCGCATAACAAAGACGTGATCAACCGCCCAAGTGGCTAATGAGCCGATCAGTGACGAAGAGGTAAAGTAAAAAAAGTAAAAGTATATACAGAGAAAGGAAAAAGGGAAATAACAAATAATGAGAGGGTGAATGAAACTTTGTGATGTGACTCAAGGGTGAATAAGGACATTGAAAATTTTTAAGAATCATTGATCTAGATACTCGAGGATTCTGGATAATCTAGATTTGTGATTCGTCCACCTAGTCTTATTCCCTCTGTTCCTTGTTTTCTGGTGTATACATTCCTCTACTGTTATTTCAAGGATTTCCATGGTCTTGCATCGGTTCATCTATGTCTGATTCCTCTTTAATGATTTCAGTCCAGTTAATTATCTGTAGTTTGTCCATCATGAGCTGGTAATATTCATGGTTGAAGGTATAGTACAGTACATGTATTTCTCTACAACTTTTTCCAAACTATCAAAGATTGTATTCCATCTTAGTATGTAGTGGTCACTGGTTGAAGTTAGTCTCTCCCAGTCGTGGACCTTGTCCACCATTGCCTCCTCAGTTGTCAAGACTAAATCCAGAATGTTGTTTCCTCTGATGGGTTCTGACATGTGTTGCATGAGTAATGAATCTTGAATGAAATAAAGGAATTCTTCTCCCTCAGCTTGTGTGGTAAGATACACCAAGTTTGTTGCTTGTTGAAAAGTACAGGGAAGCCACGTCCTCATTTCCCCCTTGCCCTGATCGGTTAAGCAAAACCACCCTTAGCAGCCCCAAGTTACATGTCTTTTAACATTATCATCATACGTTGTTGGATGTATCTATAGTTCCCAAACTAAAGCCTTTTTCCTTGTCATGGTGGACTTCAACTGTGGCACATCAACTGGAGGAATGAAATTACACCCAATGAACTAAATATATTTAATCCTGCTGCTCTTTTTGTAGAGACTGAGAGAAAATTTTCTATTTCAAAATGTTAAAGATCTGACTCAATACAGGGGGAAACAAAGGTCCAAACTAACGAGGAGGGTATAGTGGTCAAGCTGGAACCTCTAGCTCCCATTGGCACCAGCCATCATGTGACATTGTCCTTCAGAATTAACTCTTACTTGGTTCATGTTAAGAGCAAGCCAAGGTTCAAATATTACAGTGGCAATTATGACAGGATGAGAGAGGAGATGAGGGGTCTTCACTTGCCTGACTTGCTGGTAAACAAGGAAACAACTACACATGAATTATGCAGCGGTTGACACAGTTAAGAAGAAATTCAAGAGGTGGGTCAAGAGTCTTGACTCAAGACTAATGATGAACAGGACAGAAGGATGTATGCCAGGTCCAGGAACCAAGCAAAGTCAGAGTGTAGAAGGGCTGGAAAAGAGCTTCAGAGACGGATTGCAAACAAGGGCAAGTCAACCCCAAAAGTTTTCTACCGTTACCCAAAGTCGAATTTAAAGACGTGTGGGCGTATCAGATCAGAGACTTGAAGACGGTAGTTGCACAGACTTGGTTCAGGGCACAACAGAGGCATTAAACAAATTCTTTTCCTCCGTATTCACAAAAGAAGATGTGAACAATCTCCCTACATTTCAGGAAAAACGGTTTGACACAGCACTGACACACATGTTCTCAGAAGAGAGTACCGTATGAGGAACAAATTTCAAAGTTAAAGGTTGATAAGAGCTCTTGCTCTGCTAGTGTGCATACCATTTGTCTTCAGCTTTGTATGTTTTATTCCAGATGGGAGCAGCTGTGACCATGGGATGGCATACGTCTTCTATACCGAGAGTATTTCATACCCTACATCCACAACTCATTTTTTGGCACGGCCGTGTAGTTCCTGGAAATGGTACAACATTTGTGAGTGCAGCCACCCACCACAGTATATGGGTTACAATGTCAATCCCAAGTAAGTTTGCTTTATTTTTTTCCAGTGTTGGATTTTTTGTATTGGTTTTCATGGAACAATTTCTGTGTACAGGGGAACCTCAAGTTCACCAAAACAGCTAAGTTTATGTCAAGTTCACTTTTTCTTTCTATTTTTTTATGAATCAACTTGTCATACCCAAAAAATTAGGCTTCCATTCAAAAAAATTTTAAGGAAACATATTTTAACCCTTATATTCTGATGTGTCTCATGTGATGATACATTCGTGTCACATTTTACGCGGGGGGTATGTTTCTTAGAGGGCATGTAAAGGCAAAAATGTGTATAGTCAAAATTACCCTTGAAAGTCCCTTAAATCACTCCTAAAGTACATGGTTATATGTACCTGTAATGTGGTTTACAAATAAAGAAAATATATATAAAATAAGAAAAAATGAGGAGCATGGTTATGTGTGAGGGTGGGGGAAGGGAGAGGAGAGAACCAGGTAGGGAGGTGAGGGAGAGGAGATGGAAGAAAAATTAGGTAAAACAAGGAGAGAGAATTGGGAGTGAGATGGGGAGAAAAGAGGGGAAATAGAGGAGAAGGGTAGAGGGGAATGGGGAGATACATGGGAGTGAGAGAGAGGTAGAGATCAGGGAGGAAGGAAGAGGAAGAAGGGAGGTAGTGGGAGTGGCGAGGGAGGAAGAGGAAATGGGGAGAGTGAGAATGAAGGAGAAGGTGGAAAGAGAAGAGTAAATGGAGGATGAGGGGAAAGTAGAGGATGAGTGGGGAATGGGGGAGAGAGTGAGAGGGGTACCCATACAGCCCTGTCTTAGGGAGGGAGGGAGAGGGTAATGCATGTTGCCATTGTTACATATAATGAAACTATGAAGTTGTGGAAAATAATTTCAATACAGTACTCTAATGTGACTTAGAAATAAAGAAAATATAACAGAACTATAAAATAAGAAATATGAAGAGCATGGGAGTGTATTTTGTGTGGAAGGTGATCATAAGTGTGGGAGCAGTGAGAAGTTTGTCATTAGTGCCTCTGGCAATGGCTGGTTAGGCCTATTTCACTTTAAATGCCACCACACAACCACCTCTGCTGTAAGCATAAATCTGAACACTCCCCATTCATCCAGGATCTTCTTGCTACAATATATTGACAATGATGATTAGTACAGCGCCCATATAATGAATGATGAGATGATGATAGGTGCTGTACTGTATGCACTCTGATGATTGTCTTCCTCATCCGTCTTCCTCATCCCCCAACAGCATTATTGGGGGGTCGTCAGGGCTTGAGGTTGATCCAGGAGAAGGAAATGCTGCAGCAGGAGAGACAGGGTGAAGCTTGGGTGACAGAGAGAGAGTTGTGGGTGAAGGGAGTGGCTCTGGCAGTGGTGCTTTCTTAAAAAACATTGGGATCGGCAACTGTCGCCGTTGTTTCTTAAGCTGCTGAAGCATTTCTTGTTATGGGATTAAAACATTTGTTGAAGAACTTGTAATCTTGAGGCTATGCTCCATAGATGGATCATAGTCCAAATTAACCGTATTTGCTGGCGTGTACAACTTGTTTTTTCCCCTAAAAATGTATCACAAATTACCCTGCGTCTAATGCGCCCGTATTACGGATGGGAGGCCGAGTGCCATAGGCGGAGGTGCCTAGCTAGGGAGTCTGGGACGAGCAGTAGTCCACTAAGCACAAAAATTGTATTACTAATAATATTACTAATAATGAAATTCTGAAAAACAAGTCAAATTATCACAATCTATTATCACAAACTTAAGGCAAATTTGCCAAAGACATAAATAATGGCTTATATTGGCTTAACGGCAGAGGGAAGCTCACAACATCTCACTGTACCTTCTTCCCTAGCATACGTAACCCACACCAGACACATGTCTTACATTATTTAAGGACTGTGTTACCTTTAAGAAACATTTGTTTTTTATCTAAATGAAAATTGCCCCTAGAAAGTCGGCCATTTGCAATGTGTCGATAACCCCAAAACAATAACGATGGTGCTACACCCTGGTTGCAGATCACGGCAACACAAAACATCGCAGCCAAATATACGAGTTTCACATCCTGCCGGTAATTCTCTTGACCAAAATATAAATAAGCCACACAGCTGGTCTGATCAGAAGTAGAGTTGGGTTAGTATAATGTTACTGATATCGCCGCTGGCATTAATCGTTGGTGTCAACAACCACGTGCCTCCCCCACCCCACACGCGGCCTGTTACCACACCAGATGTAGCGACTGGGGGGGGCGGTGTTTACCACCGGGAGTGTCATCACCACTGGCGTGAGCGCTGAGAGGGTGTCATGGATCTCATGACACAGATCGCCCTCTCGAGTGATGCCCCCCCCCTCTCACCACGCGACCTGTTACCTCGACAGATGTGGGGGGGAGGGGGGCGGTGTTTGCCCCCGTGAGTGTCATCACCACTGGCGTAAGTGCTGGCATCGCCAGGAGTGTTTTCATCGCTGGCGTCAACACTAGTGTCAGTGCTGACGCTTTTGCTGCCTTACCCGAACAAAGATTAGGGGGTGGGCAGTGTTTACGGCGAAGAGATCATGACTCTGCTAATGTATGGTTTAAAAGGCGGCGTGGCCGCCTGGACTCTAGGAGACTGCCCCCTCAAGTGATGCTGTGAGGATCAACACTCTGCTAGCAGTGGTGAACAACAACTCCCAATCCTGGCCGAGTTTTGTACTGAAACAATTTACACAGAACTATCTTCCCTTGGAACACCATACTGGTTCGCATTGACCCGCACTTGTAAGTACAGTACAGCCAAAGTGATGACATACCCCTCAGTACTGAAATATTGTGGACTAATTATGCCCACTCGTTCCTGCCTTATCTGGAGCAGTAAGACAACGCGGAATGAAGTGTAGCTAAGATTAATAGAGTTATGAACTTTGTATCATGTCATTATGCTGAATAAGCAATTATAATTAAGATAAATTGTGTGAGACTAACTAATTATGTATCAGATAGATTACCATGTAATACTAATGAACGCCTTGTTGTCTGCAGGTTTTGACCACATCAATAAATATTGAATGCGTCAAAAGACGGGTTTCAATCATTCCCTTCGACTTGCCCGTCACCTGAACGTCCTTAACTAAGGCCTTTACAGTTACTATTTATGATTTCCTACTTGATTCCAGTGTATATTGTATGCTGCATTTACATGCACAAAATCATGTTTTCTCCTACAAAACCGCTTTAAAATCACTTTCAATAAATGTTTGGTGAAACATACTAAAAAAAAAAAAATATTCCACAAAATATCCTAGTAAATTAGGGGTGCGTCTTATGTGGTGGGGCGTCTTATACGCCGGCAAATATGGTAAATCTTTTAAGTGTTTTGTTGTTTGGAAAACTTCAGAAAATTTTTTAAGATTCCAACTTGCTGGCTCTTCCTCTTCATTGTCGTCTCCTTCTTCTTCTGTAAATGATTTTATCAGTTTTTCTAACTCTTCATTAGTCAGGGTTTCTCGGTGTCTTTTGATTAAATCCTCAATTTCTTCCCTCGACGATATCAAAGAAACATTCGCCACCCACATGTCTCGCTTCATTATCAATGGTTGGGAAACCCTTGAAATTATTCACGGTCACTCCAAAGGGTTCACCAATATGCAATGGCCGATTCAGGCTGGATTGCATCCGTTCCCTCTTGAATATAAGTAATGCAGTCAGCAATGTTGAAGGACTTTGAACACTGTATTACATCAAGGTTTGGATCAGCATCATATTGGATTTTGTTTTGTATGTATGATGATATTTAACCTTTGAGGAGTGGTGGAATATATCTACAAAAGCAAAATGAGGAACATGTAGTGGAGGTGTGTGGCATCTGGTGCTTGGTGGCTCAAGCTGCAGGAGTAGGCTGTGCAGTTAGGTGTTTTTACTGTCTGTTCATACGCCGGGCTACACAAAAGAGCTCTGTCTGCCTTGATCGGTTGCATTGTGTGGTAGCGTTGATAGAGTATCCCAAAAGTTTCCGTAATGCCTCCCATTCACTCACTCACACACACATACATACATACATACATACAGATTTTACACATACATTTTATACACACACAATCACAAAGCTTTGCAATTATCAAACATTGGTATCGGTCTATGCTTGCAGTAAGTGAATTTTTTACACACATGGTGAATCAGTATTCTATGTTTATTTTAACTTTATTAAAGGTGCTTCATTAATAAAATGTGTTTGTGCAGTGTTTTTTTTTCTATTGTTTTTATGATAATATATTTATTTTATTGCATTACAAGTATATTGAGTATACAGTACAGTATATAAAAAAATATGTGGTGAAAGTTGTCGGTTGGGAATGCATCCCCCCTAAATACATTAATTTTTATGGGCAAAATTGCCCCAAATTCACAAATTCATTATTCACAATGACTTAAGGGATTACCATTAGAAAAACCAAACTAAAAAAAATAATCATTGCAAGACCATATCTGCTCTGTCCTGTCACTCAGCAGCAGTTGATGGTGACACACTAGAAGCAGGTGAGGGGCCACCATTATGCAGTTGCCATAGTTTGTGATAAGACTAATAAGTGATATCCCCGTTAGCCGGAACAATTGGTGGAGAGCACTTCCGGGGATGAGAGATTTCCGAGTAACGAGACGACTCTCTCAAACCCAGAAAAATTCCTTATCCCTGGAATCTTTTCCGGTTATTGGAAAAAGTTTCCGAGTGTCTAAACTAGACATCTTACAGGCACTAGCCCACTTCCCAAGAATATTTCTGCATGCTGGGGATGTTTTCCTTGAGTCTAAACTACCGTAGTCTGTAAATGCAGTTCTAATTAAGTTAGAAACTCCATTTCTTTACTATAAAAATCCAGAGTACAGTGGTCCCTCGGTTAACGAGCACAATCCGTTCCAGCAGGTTGCTCGTTAACCAAAAAATTCGTTAACCGAAACCATTGTTTCAATGGGTTTTTGGGTAATTGGTTCCAGCTCACCGAAAATTGCCTAAATTCAACAAAAGAAGTAGAAAAGTACACTTACTTTGAGGTGTGTATGTAGAAGGCTCCTGAATGATGATGATGATGATGATGGGAATTAGAATGGGGGTGGAGGAGAAGGGAGAAGAGAAGGCATTGGGGTGGAAGAGAAGTCACCCCATGGCACCATTTCACCCATTAAATTTTAGTTGTCTTGGTGTAATTCAAGATTATTTTCTTTAAATCAACACTGCACTATATATAAATTTCAAAATGACCAATAATTTGCTTGGAAACACAGAAAAAAAGCATTTAGTTGAAGAGAGTCTCAAGCAAGATGTTACCTCCACTGGTGTGTTAACAGGCTGGATGGCACGCCAGAAACTAGTTTCTTTACCTTCAATTATGTTCAATAATTGATAAAATGACTAAAAAAGTTAATATTAAACTTTTAAAGTTATTGAATAGTATAAACTTCTTGATATTTACTAAAATAGTAAGGAATTTAAGCCCTAAAACTGATTACTGTATTGGCGGACTAATACTACAGCTGGTGGGCCGCCAAATGCAAGCGAAAACATGTTGAAGTCGGCTCGTAAAAAACTCGTTAATCGCGGGATTGCACGTTAACCGAAGTTAAGAATCTTATGGAAGGTAAATCGTTAACCAAGGCGCTCGTTAACCGAGGGATCACTGAAATTTATCTAAAGGTGTGTGTGTGTGTGTGTGTGTGTAACTTTTTGGGGGGTGAGGGTCGTGCAGTCTCTCTCTCAAGAGTAGCTAATTGTGATAAGGAGATGCATTTGATACCAAAATGATGCTTAATAATTTCTCTCGAGACATTTCCAATACAACTTCCTTTAACAAAATATTTTGATATGATATAATGATGGGAATTCTATTCTTTTATAAAAAAATCAGTTCTAATTTTGTTAAGACACCATTTTTTTATCAAAATGATCCTGAATACTTTATCTAAACGTTTGGCTAAATAAATATATTACAGAAAAAAAAGCTCAATATGATAGTGGGGTGAACAGAGCTGTGTTACTTTTATCCTCTTTTTTCCACTGATCAGCTCGTTATTCACTTGGGCGATCGGTCACGTCTCTGTTACGCACTGTTGGCAAGTGTTCTTGTGTACTGTATATATTGTAGATCCTGTCATCTTTGGCCTAGAATAGGCAGACACTTCACTCAGCTGACTATAATACATAACAAATCACATCTTAACACTTGTGATGAAGGTTGGGTGGGAGATTATTGGGTCACATTATAACCTAACCTGATGCAGTGTCCGGTCACCCAGTGTTGGGTGGGGGATTAGTGGGTCTTATGACCTGAAGATGTCTTGAATGACATTTTTTACCTGAGGTATATACATAGTACTGTACTGTATTGTATATGAAGGGTACAGGTATTAATAAGCACAGATTATTACAGTAACGTATCTTTACTAATTAATGAAAAACAAATAAACAATATTGTATCATGAATGAGTCAGTACAGTAGACAAACAGTGAGGTGACCCTTTGGGGGAGGAGGGGTGGTGCAGTCACTTTTACCCCCAATGAACCCTTCTCCCTCTGGCTGGGAGGTGGGGTGTCGACAACCTGGAGGGGAAATTAACGCTTACTCAAGGATTATGAAAGGCAGGGGGTTATTTTTTCGCTTATAAAATGCCATTGACTTAACTTAGGAGAATATAACTTGTATTGTTGGAATCCTTGTAAGATAGCAATTAATTTGAGTATAACCATTCCTTATTTTGCACCAAACATAATAATTTAAGTAATTAGCTTAGTACAGTACTGTATATTTGAGTACACGTGATAATTTATGTGGTTGCTCAGCAGTTGTGGTTGCAGTTACGAAGCTTCATGACATCACTAGTGTATAATGAGTCTCCATATGCCCTGGTTTATTCATTGATCAGTTGTCTAAGTGCAAAAGTAGTCCTGTCAAGCCATCATGTATCAATTAATTTTAAAATAGAAATTATAAAGTAAAATGTTATAAGACAATGGTTTGGTAGTGCTGTTAATGTGTGTGCTGTGTAAGTGTCTTGGCATGTCACCTCACCACTTGACTCCTGAACAAACTCTTCATCAACTTCTTCAAATCCTACAATGTGATTGACAAGCTCAAAACACACACACACACTTCTCTCAGCATTCATAGGGTAAGGACGTGTGTAGTCGGCGCTGCCCGCTAACGCGGCCGTGGTCTCTTGATCATGGAGACAGCTGCCAGCCCGGTCTGTCGGGCCTTCCCATCTGGATTTATCAACATCCTCACACCAACAGTACAGTGCAAATATTGACGATCAACCCACAAGTGATATACAAAAGTGGCAATTTCAACTCAAAGGAAAAGCACAAAAACACAGCAATACTGATTGTGGCTGGATCTGACCTAACCTGACCTGACCTCATGGCTTCACCTGACCTAACCTGAAGGATGGAGCACACCTGCATTGCCCCAAGCTACTGTCCTGGCCACGTGGCCACACACCTGCCCAACCGCATCCAGCCCATACGAGTACGAACTGATTGCTACAAGAACAGCCCAGTCCCAACCATTGTAAAAATTATCAACACCTAATTATTATATATCATATTTGTATTACTTATGTTACTTGTACATCATTTGTAAATCAAGAGAACCATTCCCCGATTATGTAATTGTATATTTTCAGCCTTCCGGCTGCCATGCTCTTTCAATAAACCGTTAATTATTATTATTATTATTATTATTATTATTATTATTATTATTATTACACACACACACACACACACACACACACACACACACAGAGGAATTAAGACATCAAGCATCCAGTGAGAGTCTTGTTGTGTGACTGCATAGAGGCAAATTAAAAGATCAGCTGTTGAGGAGCTTATCGCTTGGCAACACTGGTGTATGTTATCACTCCTTTCCACTCCATCTCTTTAATCACCCACACCTTTCTGCTTTCTCACTCCATATTTTAAAATGTTATGTGATGTTATGTTGAAGGGATACAACTTTGCTCATTTATACTTACTGTATACATATCACAATCTACCTAAAAATACTTTAGCTTTTGTGTTTATTCAAGACATCTTCAGGTCATGAGACCCACTAATCCCCCAGCCAAGAAAGGGTGACCTGACATTCCATCAGAAGGTCAGTAATATGAGACCACTAATCCCCCACCCTACCTCCACCTGACATTGAGTCAGGTCAGGTCCCCCCAAAAAATATTTAAACTTTCAACTTTATTCAAGACATTTTCAGAAAATTCTCTCGATTTTCAACCTCAGAAAATTTGTTCCTAAAGCTGGAAGTTTTTTGGAAAATTCCCGGTTTGGGAATGGTTTTCCGAGCAAATTTCAATCCCGGCGATTGGAGATTTCTGGGTTTGAGGGATTCTGGCTAACGGAGATATTACTGTACTAAACATATTTTTACCAAATGAAAAAAAAAGCATGTTGGAAGAACTGACATTTAATGTAACTTGTAATACCCTCCATGGAAGATTTAAAAAATAGATTTATGAAAATATTCACATCTTTGTTAATGTGTGTGGTTGCCATACCAGATTTTTTGAGTTCACAGTCTTGGCATCCATTACCGCTATTTCATAAATCACATGAGCTCTTAAAATTAACAAGTTCACCACCCAGTTACAGTTGTTCCAAGGGTTCACATAGTTTAGAGGTTGTACTTTGTATACAGTACAGTATCTTGATTTTGTTACCAGTCTTATAACTATAAATGCTTTCATATTACTTTACAGTGTCCCGGGAGATTTCTACCTCAACACCAGCATCACAGCTCCCTATGCTCTCTTGGACCAAAAGTGTTCTGCTGGTTCCTTCTCTACGCTCCAGATTATTGGTATGAATCCTATTACATCAACCACATCAAATCTCATATTACTGTCTTGTATTCTCCTGACACCAATGTAGTACTGTACACTACCTCTTATAATGTGCCTATTACACACGCAGCTGGACTTTTGTCTTACATACACTATTTCATGCTCATATTATACAATTGGATGTTTTAGCTACAAATTGTTCTGTTTCCCATACATGCCCTGTTCTCTATTTCATACTTACACCACTATACTAGCAGGGTTCCTAGATGCATGAAAAATCCTGGCTAAAATAAAACTTGCCAAGGAGAGTTATGGAAATTTGGCAGAGATTGTATTTTAATGCTACCAGTTAGCAAGACAGAAAATGAACTTCCTTTGATTATACTGTTCTCACACATATATTTTATTAAATTTAATAATCACATGAAAAGTGGCACACATTGAACATTTTGAGTGCCCATCTGATATGTGGTTTGTTCAGTGGATTATTGACACAGAATATTGGTGATTTTAGTCGGTTTTCAAGTGCTTTGCAGGCACTGTTTTTAATTCTGTCAGTGGGCAAGACAGGGAAAGTCTCTAAATATCAGTTAGTGATAGCTTTTTCCTTTTACATTGATATCTTCCTTATTGACACATTGTAACTACAGTATATGGCATGTTGGCTGATGGTGGGCAAGTCCCATGTCAAATTTTTCTGATAAAATAATGTCCTTTAGACCAGCAAATTGCTAGTTGCCCTGTAAACTTGCCTTGTATCTTTATACAAGATGATGAAACATCATGCATACTTGTGCTCTATTCTACCAATGTAACTTACTGTCAGTGAATGATCTAAAAATATTGACATGTGTGTAAAGTGGTATGTCTTTGCAGTAGACATTTTGGGGGTTTGGTTGGATGACTGTAAGAGCTGTTGATTAGTATCATTATTTTAACCTTTATAGAGAACCAACTTCCTGCCTTTCCTGTTGTATTGGTAAATATTTAAATCGTGGAAACTTATCATTATATCATATGTATTGTCCCGTGGGTTCACACACTCACACACCAATTTACTGCCATATATACATACACCATTCTACTGTTTGTCATGCACACATACCTCAGTACAGTCTCTTGTACAGATATCCCTCATTTGATTATGGGGTTGCGTTCCTGAAAACCCTAACGTTAAGCAAAAGCATCACAAAATGAGGGATAACAGCAAAGCACAGAGGACGAATAACAGGTTCAAACAGCAGAACAGTAAACACTGAGCACAGTACTGTACAGTACTCCCTAATAATAATATAATAATAAATGAGGTTGTAAATGGTTTCAAAGTTAAACAATTTATTTATTAATATAGTACCAGACTTCCATATAAATGATGTTTTTCAGAATTAAACAATTTAGCGAGCACAGGGTAAGCCTAATTTTAACAAATTTTAAATTGCATATGTCAAAAATAAACAATATTGCTGTGACAAGTAAAAGAAATTGATACTGTAGGACATATTTTATGTACAAAAAATAGCTCTTTCCACACTCAAACCATCCTCTGGGCAATGCCACACAGTTCAGCTGGGCAGTTAAGTTAGCCAGCTGACTCATAGACGTGTGTGGCTGCTGCCGTGCTGTGCTGCGTCTATGCTGTGATGTCACATCGAGGGAAGGAGACCGCTTCTGGGTGGCGAGTCGGCGGTGCAGTTACATCTTACTACCTCCACACACTTCACACATATACACAACCATGCTCTTTATTTTTCTTATTTTATAGTTTTATGCAGTACAATATTATATTTTCTTTATTTCTAAGCCACATTAGAGTATGGTAATGATTTTTCACAACTTTTATAGTTTCATGCCATCTCACAGGCCACCTAATCCCCAGTTTTCCCCCTACCCAGTGAATCAAACTATCGATTAACCGAATTTTGACCTAATGTTAAGTGGGAAAGGGTTTCAAAAAAATTTTGGGTGCTAAATTGAATGAATCTTAAGTGAATTAATGTTAAATAAGGGATACCTATATACACAAAACACTATTATCTCTCTTACATACACAAAATCATTGTTCTAATTGATAATATTAGCAAAACAATGTCTAATAAGGATCAAATCTCCCTTTTGATTACCGGGGGTATTTGTTTTACAAATTGATTTGAAGTATGGGATTTTGCTCTTTTGAGAGGATGGGGATATATTTACAGTAGTATAGTAATCTTTATTATTGAATGTTGCTTTTCTCCCACAGGTTTGATACTAGTGTCAATATTATTGGCTCTTATGATACTTCTGGTAGTGTTGGCCATAGTACAACAGTACTTTGGTGTACAAGTCCTGACAACAGTGAGAACAGCATTTGGAATGGAAGCAGTTACCTGGCAAAGATTTGCAGAATCGAAATCGACACAGCTTCTGACTGAAGAACACAAACAAGTTATTACTTGAACTTTCTTACTACACTACATTGTATTTGAACCGAGTGTGAGCTGTTTCAAGACCAGACTTGATCAGCACTGGAGCAGGTTCAAATACATTCAGGAGCCGGTGCATGCCCAGTACTTACCAACAGTGCCACTGTAACAGAAACGTGACTGACCGCCCAAGCGGCTAACGTGCCGATCAGTGGCAAAGAGGATAAAAGTAAGACTCATTTACTGTAGGTCAGTTCTTCTGCCTGTGACACCCATTCCTTTACAGCCATTCTGTCTGATGGTGGTCATTCCTTAAACCATTTTAATCAGCCACCAACATTAAGAGCTTTAGGCATCTGCAGCTTATAATCTTTATTTCATGAACTAATAGAGATGTCTTATACTATATATGTATATATATATATATATATATATACAGTGGGGTATGCTATAACGAACGTAATTGGTTCCAGAACCTCGTTCGTTATAGCATTCGTTCGTTATAGGATTAATCCGTTCCAGGCCCCCAAATACAACCACTTAACACTGAAAAAATTCTGTGGAAAATGTAAAAAATACGGTACTTTATCTTACCTTAGTGTTATTCAGCATGCAGGTACCCCTAAACACTGGCACATCACTATCACTTCCACTGGGAGTCTTGGCTTTAAGGTCCTCAAACAATTGTCTGGCCTTCTCACAAATTATAGGTTCACTAATATTACCACCTGCCATTTCTTTCTCCTTTATCCACACTAAGAGTAAATTTTCCATCTCTTAAATCACATTGCACCTTGCTTTGCTAAGTCTGAAGATTCCCTTCGCCACTTGCACAGTTTTTAACTCTTCTTTATTCTTCAAAATCGTACATATAGTCGATTTAGCCATCCCATATTCATCACTAAGTTTCTCAATGCTTCTTCCATTCTCACGTTTCTTTATATTTTCTTTCTTAGTTTCAAGGGTTATTAGCCTTCTCACTCGCTTTGGATGACTCTTTCTTACAATTGTATACTTGTATAACAAAATAGTTATACAAATAACGCGAATTTCCACACCAAAAGACGAAATTTCAACAATAACAGTGGTGCACTGGCTACACAATGAGACAAAGATGGCGCCTGACGCTCTTGTTGTGGGTCGCGGTACAACAATATTCATGCGCCAGGCGAAATAGTCCCGTATTCATCCGCGTTCGTTGTAGGAGTTGCGTTCGTTATAGCATTCTCAATTTTATAGGTAAAACCGTTCGTTATAGGAATATTCGTAGTAGGATCCGTTCGTTATAGCATACCCCCACTGTATATATATATATATATATATATATATATATATATATATATATATATATATATATATATATATATATATATATATATATATATATATATATATATATATATATATATATATATATATATATATATATATATATATATATCACAATGTATAAGATAAATCTTGATAAAATCACACGGGAAAATGGAAACAACGGAGTACCTTAGCTTTCGTCTTTATTCAAGACATCTTCAGAGGCAACTGGATTACATGGACAGAGAGAGGCTTAAATATACAGGGTGACCTAAAAACATAAGGTCAGGTCATAATGATGACATCCACTAATCCCCACACCAACACACACGTAGAGGAGCTTAAGAGAAGGGTGGTGACGTGACTAGACAGGTCAGGTCAGAAAAAAGGGACCCACAAAATAACTATCATACATCAAGATCAAAGGTTTTCAAAGCATTTTTAACCTTGGGCCACTGACAAATAAATTTATGTAACATATTATCAGTTTTGAACTGACCATCACTAAGGTTTATTGATTTTAATTCCTTAATCAAACTAGCTTCAACCAGAAGTCTTTCTGTGACACAAGATGATTTGAATACTTCTAAGCTTTTTTCCCAAGCAATGGGGTGATTATTATTCCTAACATGAACGAACAAGGCACTGCTTTCAGATGCAGTTCTGATATTATACTTATGTTGTTTGATTCTGAGCTGCAGTGTTTTTCCTGTCTGACCTACATAATTACAATTACATTTGCTACATGGAATACAATAAACACTTCCATTTACATTCAAACTTGGGCTATTCCTTATTAACATATTGGTAATGGTTGAGTCATACTTGAAAACAACATTAATATTTAGAAGCTTGAGGGACCGAACTAACGGGACAAATTCATTACGATAGGGCAGAGTCAAAATATTCTTAAGTGTAGGAACTTGTCTGGTTTGAGAGGAATGAAAGGATTTTTTAGCCCTTTTAAAGCAACGATCAACAAACACAGAAGGGTACCCAAGTTTCTGTGCAATAGAACGAATGTGTTTAAATTCATCGTCAATAAATTCAGAGTCACAAATACGCAGACATCTTAGGAACATAGCAGAAAAAACTGACATTTTGGTAGACTCAAGGTGATTCGATAAAAAGTGAATGAAACTGTCTACCTGTGTGGGCTTTCTATATACCTTAAATTTATAGTTTTGGCCATTTCTCATGATAAGCATATCAAGAAATGGAAGGGATTCATTTATTTCTCTTTCAATTTTGAATGTGATATTAGGGACAATATTATTAAGCTTGTCTAAAAATTCCAATGGGTCACTGTTTTTAGGCCAAAGACATGAATTTTATATATATATATATATATATATATATATATATATATATATATATATATATATATATATATATATATATATATATATATATATATATATATATATATATATATATATATATATATACACAGTGGGGTATGCTATAACGAATCTAATTGGTTCTAGAACCTCGTTCGTTATAGGATTAATCCGTTCCAGGCCCCCAAATACAACCACTTAACACTGAAAAATTTCTGTGGAAATTGTAAAAAATACGGTACTTTATCTTACCTTAGTGTTGTTCAGCATGCAGGACAGGAGGCAGAGGGGGAGGGGGGAGGAGAGAATTATGGAGAAGAGGTGGAAGGAGAGGAGTCATCCTTCCTAGCCCTCTTTGGTGACTGTCTTACAGGCACTTTGTCTGTTTATTTATAATTTCTTTCTTAGTTTCAAGGGTTATTAGCTTTCTCACTCGCTTTTGACGATTCATTGTTACAATTGTACACTTGTATAACAAAATAGTTATAAAAATAACACGAATTTCCACATCAAAAGACGAAATTTCAACAAGTTCAGTGGTGCACTGACTACACAATGAACCAATATGGCGCCTGACGCTCTTGTGAGCCGAAATATATAAATTATCATTTGTTCGTTTAATATTATTATAAATATTCATTATTTATATATAAATAGGAATTATTTGTATAGCATATAGACTGTATATACATTATACATATATATATATATATATATATATATATATATATATATATATATATATATATATATATATATATATATATATATATATATATATATATATATATATATATATATATATATAAGCAAGCAGTTTTGTGCCTCTTAGTCACCCGTTAGAAGGCAGTGGCACACTTAGGTATTTTATTCGTCAAAGAGAAACCCCTGTTCTCTCAAGGGTTAAATGTCAGAACAAAACTTATCAGCTGGCTTTTATTAGCTTTCAATTAGAAATGTACTGCCTGGCATCTTTCTTTTCCTTTTCTTCTGTGATGGCACAGCCTCCAGAGGACCAATCTCCAGTTGGACCTGTACATTGTAGTACTATGATTCTCTTGAGGAAAGCAGTATTTATTATCCATGGCAATACATGTGAAATGAAAAGTGTGGTCATGTAGATTTACACTAACATGAATGCTTTGTAAAATGTGATAGTTGTATGCAGTTGTTAGTTTCAAGGATTTTTTTCTGTCACACGACCTTTTCTGCATCATATCTTCTATGTCACTCAAGACTCTTGCCATTTCTAAGTCATACTGTATCACTAATTGTAATGAAAACTGGCACCTATAAAGTAACCCACATAACCTTGGAAATAACATGTACATTCTGTTTATTAAATGCTTTACACCATCAGGTATTTTTAACAGTTCAAGTGTGAATATCTGTACAACTATCACCACTCTACTGTATGAATTTTCACAAAGAACAAGAAGTTGCATAGGATTTAAGAATTGCTTGTTGAAAGGAATGGTGATCAAATTTCTCCAAAGCTTTATTAATGTACCAGTAGTTATCATACTTGTGACAAATACAATTTTTCTCAACACATTACTTGTTACCTCCTTATTTAGAAAGTATTTAAGTACAGTATATAATTCATGTACCATACAGTTGCCCGCAAGTATTCTTATACACCTATACAGTAGGTCTTGCATGGGTAAAATTTTCTGTTAACACTCCTATAGAAAACTGTCAGGATTCCAAAATAAACCTTTATTTAAGTGTCATTCTTACATATATGTTACAAATACATCTAATGTGTATATTTGAATATTGTCGGGTCTTGAAAACACAGCCGTGTTTCAAAACATCTCAAATGCTTCGAATCCCTAAACAAACATTTGTAACAGCTATGCTATCATAAGCACTTGGAGTCATATACAGTACTTTTAGTGCTTTACTGTACAGCAAACTTCACCTCGACCAATAATACTATTTCTACCACTATGTCCACTAAAATGTCAGCCAAATGCCAATACAACTACCTATTTGAATTGATACAAAATTTCCTATCAATGAAACTTGAATTGAATTGAAACAGTTTATTTAGCCAGAAAAACATAGATACAGAGTGGATAATAATAACAATATTAACATGGCTCAGCCAGTTGAGAACCTGAGCTCTCTTTTAGGCACCTGATATATACTATACATTTATCTCAAGGAAGTATTATGTAACATTTAGTAACATCTGGGTTAGTACAATAGCATGGTGGTAATAAGAACATCTCATAATGTTACCACAGTTATCACTTCAATATTTATTTATTTTATTTATTTATTATTTTTTAGCTTATTTTTTTATTTATATTATAAATATATACATAAATTACAGTGGAATTAAAAAACATAAGTATAATGGGGAAGCAGTACAACATGGGTTGTACAGTATTAAGGTTGAACAAGAAGACAGAGCTGTCAGGATTATGTCTAGTTGGCAAATATGTTTATTGCAATGGTAATTTCTTATCTATTTACTGTACATGGTAATTTCCAATAAAACGGTTTTGATGGCACAATAAAAGCAGATACTGTAAATATAGTAGGTATTACAAGAAATACTAATACTTAC